CACACACACACACACACACACACACACCCCTCAGCCTGAACACAGCCGTGACGCTGCGTCAATGGGCTGGAAAAGGCCCCAGCAGGTTGAATGAAAGGGATTAAACAGTGAAGTGTGCAGCATCTAAAGGAATCTGCAGGATCCTCTTCAACCTGCAGATCAACCTTTGTCTGACAAACCGAGTCTTTTTCTCACACATGATTGATTGGTTTTATTGAGATGAACTGGACCATAAATCTTCAGACTTTACAGCATTTATCTAACAAGCTTATTATTTAAACATGCAGATTATCTTCATTAACATCAAACACATCTAAAGGATTTTAGCACAGCTGAAGAGTGATACAACACGTTCCGTAAATAAACATGAATAATATATTTTACATTTACTATATGCTTTTTATATACATTTTGATAGGGACCATCCTGATATGGTTTGGTGAGTTGTTCCAAAGAAATGCCTTGATTTGTTTTCCTGATCAGTCAATATTTGGTCTGAATCCTATTTTGAGGTTATGTTAATGAGGCATTTTTGATGTCATCTTAAAGAGGAAATGCAAATCTATTTTTGGATATTAAGATTTGTCAGCTGGAAAGAAAACAAAAGCATTGAGCTCAGGGAAAATGATAAAAACGGTGTAAACTGTAAGCTGACTTTGATGAAAAAAAAGAGAAAAAAACTCACAATTTTTCTTTAAAACCATAAAATGACACCTCAGGACACATTTCTTGTTTAGAGTTGTTCTCTCATAACTAATATGCTCACGTTTGTGTTTAATTTATGATAGACATCATGTGCTATATTTCTGTGATGCAACAACAAAACTGTATCATTTGTGAGCTTTTGTCTTTTTTTATCATTACGGGTATGAGCTTACTCCACAAAAATGTTTAGCTTTCCTGTTCAAAATTATGTTTCATGTTTCTACTGCTCAAAACAAGAGTTTCAAAAGAATATGTAAGATAATATTTGAGATATTTGACTAAATGCAATTGTTGCAAACGTTTTAACCAGTGCAGCTGCATGTTTCTCTGCTTGAGACTTAATCCTCGGTTCGATGTGATGTGTCACATTTAAACTGCACAAAAAGTAAGAAAATTAGTGTTTGGTGGATTATTTCTTTCTAGCAATGCTTCTTGGTAAGAAAATTTAAATTGGGGACCTGATTGGCAGCAGCAGTGGTACCCGAAGCTCAAAACAAGAGTCATTAACAACAGCAAAATAAGCTGTTTGGCAAAGAAGATTTAGTTAATTTCTCATGTGTGCAACAAACACACTCAGCTCTACTGCTCATCCCACAAATGCATGTTCCTTACAAATGTGGCACCATTTAAAAGGGAAATTCTGTCAACAGTATAAGATTTATTAGAAGAAGCCTTGTTACAGCAAAGATTGAAAAAGGGAGGGAATTGATTTACTTACTTTTTGTGCAAATTTAATTTTAATTTCAAAAGTAATATAGGATAAATTCTATATTTGTAATCAGTGTTAACAATTTCCTGACTTGTTTGATCTGTAAATGTTTTGTTTAAAATTTTATCATGAATCTATTCTATGACAAAAAGAAATATTTGTAAATAAGAATAAAACACATAAATATGATTGCCTTTGCTTTAGTAATTCACAACAAATATCACAATAAACTGCACTTGCTTTGTAAAAAAACATTATAGACCGACATATACTGTGTATAAACTTCTGCATATTTTAATTAAATTTATTTGCATATATTCATTTACACACTTGCAGCCTATACTGTGTGCATGACAAGCTTTGATGTTTACTGTGCATGATTTACAGATAAATTCACACTCACACTGTCTCATAATTCATATTCATCTCATAATTAATAAATTGTGATTTACCATATCACATAAACAGCATGACAGATCAGTGGTTACAGATTTTTCACAAGGTCCGGTTTGGACCAGGGATCGTTCTGTGTGGAGTTACATGTTCTCCTCTTGTTTGTGTGAGTTTTCTCCAGGTCTGGTTTCCTCACACAAAAACATGCATGTTAGGTTGCTTTCAGGGCTTCCCTTGCAAAAAGAGTTCTGTGATCTCAGAGGGATTTGGCTGCTTAAATCAAGGTTAATAATTAATAAGTAATCATAAACATCCACCAGTTTGATCAGATTTGAAAAATATTGACAGCAGGCTACATATGCCCCAGTTTTTAAAATCTTTTATGTTTCACCTGCTCACATCTGCAGGGGGGTCGCCACAATGAAGCTGCATGAAAGATTTGGTAATTGAGGACACTAATAGTTGAGGCTTTGTAGGTGGAATTCTTTCATTCTTGCTTGATGAACAACTTCAGTTGCTCAGCAGTCTGGGGTCTCTGTTGTTGTGTTGATTCATAATGCTGCACACATTTTCAATGGGAGACAGGGCTGGACTGCAGGCAGGGCCATCTAGTACCGCTGCTGTAACATGTGCAGAATGTTGTCTTGCTGAAATAAGCAAGACGTTCCTAAATAAGGATGGAAAGCAGCACAAGTTGCTACAGAACCTGTATCTACTTTTTAACATTGATGGTGCCTTCACAGTTGTGCAAGTATTAGTGCCATGGGCACTAATATACCCCCATACCATCAGAGAGGCTGGCTTTTGAACTTTGCACTGATAATAATCCAGACAGCTCTTTTCCTTGACCTGGAGGACACAACGTCCATGATTTCCAAAAGCAATCTGAAAGGTGGACTCGTCAGACCACAGGGCACTTTTCCACTTTGTGTCAGTCCATCAGATGAGCTCGGGTCCAGATAAGTCAGCAGTGTTTCTGGGTGTTGCTGATGTCTGAGCTTGTCTTTGCATGATAGAGCTTTAATTTGCACTCGTAGCTTTAGAAATGAACTGTGTTCACTGATTTTCTGAAGTCTTCCTGAGACCATGTGGTACAATCTGTTACAGAATGATGTTGGTTTTTAACGCAGTGGTCACAGGAATTTAATGTTGGTTTTCAGCCTTGCTGCTTGCAGAATTTTGTTTCTATCTCTGAATCTTTTGATGAAATTCTGGACTGTAGATTATGAATTCACTAAATTCCTTGCAATTGTACATTGAGAAACAAACTGTTCTTAAACAATTGGACTATTTGCTCACACAGCTACTCATAAAGTAGTGAACCTCACCCCGTCCTCGCTTGTGAACAACTGAGCCTTTCAGGGATGCTCCCGTTATACCAGGGGTGGGCAGTCCTGGTCCTTGAGGGCCGCTCTCATGCATGTTTTACTTGTTCCTCTGATTCAGCACACCTGAATTGAATGAATGGGTGATTACCAAGCTTCAGCAGAACTTACAGCAGGCAAAATAAGTATTGAACACGTCACCATTTTTCTCAGTAAATATATTACTAGAGGTGCTAATGACATGAAATTTTCACCAGATGTCGGTAACAACCCAAGTGATCCATACATACAAAGAAATCAAACCATAAATGTCCAGAAATGAAGATATTTGTAGTAATGTGGAATGGCACAGGGAAAAAGTATTGAACACACTTACTGAAATGTATCTAATACTTTGTACAAAAGCCTTTGTTGTCAATGACAGCTTCAAGACACCTCCTGTATGGAGAAACTAGTTGCATGCATTGCTCAGGTGTGATTTTGGCCCATTCTTCCACACAGTCTTCAAATCTTGAAGGTTTCGTGGACCTCTTCTATGAACTCTGATCTTTAGTTCTTTCCATAGATTTTCTGTTGGATTCAGGTCAGCTGATTGGCTGGGCCATTCCAGCAGCTTTAGTTTCTTTCTCTGAAACCAACTGAGAGTTTCCTTGGCTTTG